AAAAATCGGCCTAGACGGCCGCCTAGGCGCTAGGCGGTGCCCGGGCGCCTCCGATTTGCTCAAATCGGCAGAAATAATCGGGCAGGCGGCTAGGCGGCGCCTAAGCGGGCATAGGCGGACCTAGGCGCTCCTAGGCGGGCTCGGCGGCAATTTTTTAGTTTTTTTTTTTATTTTTTTATCTTAAAATACTAACTACATTATTTTGTTACCATGTTTTCTTTAAAATAGATTAATTTTATTATTTGGACTTAGATGTGTCGATTTATTATAAGTTGATGTAATTTTATTTTATAAGTAGTTAAATTAAATAAAAAATAAAGTATTTAATATTGATTTCTAGGCCCCGCCTAGGCGCTAGGCGCTAGTCGAGCGTCTAGCGAGCGCCTAACGACTTTTAGAACACTGAAAATAACACAGACAACCATGGGGAATAGTTTACTAAGAACATCTCCAATGACATTTCCATTGCTCTATTTTGTAGCCACATGCAGAAAAAATTCTATGTGGCATTGAAAATATTTAGAAGACTTTCTAGATGTAGAAGTCATTCTAAACAACTAGATAAACGAACACAAACTTGTCGAATAATTCGAACAGTTCACGAACAAGTTCGACTAGATAAACGAACAAACACGAACATGTCGAACCAATAAACGAACGAACACGAACGATAATTTTTATTCATTTACTAAACGAACGAACACGAACTATGTTCGAAAATTAGTCGAACTTGAGCTCGAAAACCTTAAGCACGGTTCAGTTCAGTTCGATAAGAGCCCTGGCACTAGATGTCGTATCCTTTGTTTCATTTTAAAAACAGAACTTACGTAAATACCCTGAAATAGATAATGAATAATTCTAACGAAATGAGTCTACAGTACTCATTTCTTTCTCGTTAATTTTCAATCTCCAAAATCGGCCGTAAGTGCTGGTGAAGGAAAAAACCCAGGAGTACTAAGCGCAAGCCAGCTCATCTCGTTCACCATGAGAAATTGAGAGAGGCAGACAGAGAGAGAGAGAGAGAGAGAGAAATACATGTGAAATCTGAAGACTCTTTCAATAGTAAGAGGAGATGGAATAATTTGGTCACCGCATGCCGTTCGTCGAAGTCGGTAATTCGACTTCGGCCTTTGTCAATGGTAGAGCCTCCCCTCGGAGCTCCTGTTGGAGTTTCTCTACTCAGGCAACTACGACGATGGTTCCTGATAGGAGATTTTGAAGAAGCCGGACATCTCGTATGCTCTCTCTCTCTCTCTCTCTCCGTCTTGTTTTGTTATTGGTTTTTATGTAGGTATATGTTTATATGAGTATATAGGTACATGTTTTATTTGAGAGTGTTGATGCCCCTGAACAGTTATGGGTTTTGTTCATAGTCTGTCCTAATGAAACTTAAAATATTTATTCTATTCATTTTGTTTCCATTGGCCACGTCAACTTGGATTTTGTGGTCTCCCTTTTCAAATTTTCTTAAATTGTGATTAAATCTTATCTCACTCAAAAATAGTGGTATAATCCTGATGTGTGATCCTATTTCTTGAACTCAATGAATTTTTAGTAGTTTATCACGTCAATAACTTGTGTCATATTATTTTGAGATACTTGAATGACGGTTTTTGGGCCTTTCTTTTTGTTCCGCTTCATATGTTTGAGGCTACGCATGGAGTTAGTGCGGGCTCGAATAAGGAAGGTGATGGCTAGTTGGTGATACTCGTTGAGATTGTGATGGTGGTCAGAGTAAAGAAAGTTGGGGATGCTCGTTGTGATTGTGATTGTGTGAAAATGGTTGATTTTTTTTCGAACTTTTTGCTTTTGATCCGACTTATTCGAGAGCCCTTCTTCAAATTTTACTGTGCAGATATTGTGTTGGAAATTGAAAGATATTTTGCTTGTCATAAGTTCAAAATTAAGCATAGTTGAAGACATGTTCGAACAAGCACTTGGAACCGCATAAAAAGGGAAGATCTTTGTATTATATTTATTTCTTTAGTTAGATTATTTTATGTATATACATATGAGATTGCATTGATCTTATTATGGTATTTATTTTGTAGAAAATTGGATTGTGTGGAAATAGAGGCATGTATGAGTTTGGGATCTTGGAGAGAGAAAAATGAGATCTACACTTACCATATCTCTTTATCATACACTTGAAAGGAAATTACAAGAAGGAGTCATATTTCTTGGAGAAGACTCCACGCTCCTAAGGAGTGATATAAATACCCAACTTGAAGATCGATGATCGGCTGCTGATGCTCTTATACACTTAGAGATAATCGAGCTTCAAGTCATTCTGTTTTTAAGTTTTATACTTCGTTCACAGTTCAGTTCGAGGGTTCTTACGCATCTAAGAACTGAAGCTGTTTTGATTCATTTTACTTGGTCTTATTCAAACTGTTTCATACTTTACACTTAGGGATTAAGTGTTTGTTAGAAAGTCCACGGGACGTGGCCGGAGAAGTAATTGATAGGATCGTGTGTAGTTGTGGCTAGACTAGAAGGGAGTTCGAGTCGTGTAAGTCCAAACTATACAATGTTCTACGGTTATTCAATGAAAGAGATCTGAGGGGGAATTGAGACGCTTCCCTGAAGAGATTTAACATCTTCGATTTATTGCTTCCGCTATTTACATTGTTACTTCACGTTCTTACAAGTTACAACGTTTTGTGCACTCACGATAAAAAGTACATGTTTCAGAAATAATAGATAACAATAGAGAAAGAGACACTCAACAACACACAAATTATATTATTCAATATTTCTCCCAAGAATAATAGTATATAACACACGTCTCAAACAAGTTCTTTGGAACTTTGTCCAAAAACTCTATTTCCTCCCTCTCTTGAAATCTTTACGGAACACACAAAGTGGAAAGGAGTTTTGGGATTGATCAAGCCTTCTACTTTCTTCATAAGATTTCACAAAGAAGAGAAGTATGTAAAGGTGTCATTTGCCATGTGTGGTTACAAGTGTAAGATGATCTCTTTAATGTTCACAACTCATCTTCATGAATGAAGAACCACTAAACTCAACATGAAACTTATGTTTACTTAATCTTATATTAATTAAACCAATAAGTTTCAACATTTGTGAAACTCATCTCATGACATGCATGTAATGAACCTTATCTTCATTCATACATTGTATAACTCAAGTTACACTAATGCGTGCATATGAATAACTCAAGTTACACTAATGCATGCATGTAACGTATAAGATTCCTTACACCTTTGCATGTAACCAATAACCAATCTTACTTTTCATTTTAACCAAAATATAACATATTGTTGTGATAATGATCATGTACAAACGATTGATTTTTTTTCCAAATTTTTGGCTTTTGTTCTAAAGCCCTTCTTCAAGTTTTACTGTGCAATTCTTCATTGATTTTGAGGACAAGTGCATTTTTAGTTTTGTTGGTTCAAGTTCTTGTAGGGTGCACGGTAGAACATTTGCTTGATACTTAAGAAAAATGTAGATTGACTTGATAAAGGATGTTTTTTTTTCATTTTTGAAGAAAATGAAGTTGCAGATGTAATGGTTTATGATTCTCCAATATCGTGGTGAAAAATCTTGATGAATAAAAATTAGTATTGATTTCCATTCTTGTTATAATGCTAAACATATTTAGTTTTATTTATTTTAATGATTTTGAAGTATTTCATATAGATGTTATTAAGGCAATGTTGTTTGTTAATAGGCCATGATTTTGAAATTAAGGTCTATATAAATTTTACTTATGTATAGAATTTGGGAGTTACTGGTAAATTAGTTGAAAAACTAAGTTTTAGTAAGAGGGGCATAGTTGGAAATGTAAGTAACATTTAAATGAAGGACAAACCAAACAACTTAAGGGGATGTATTTAATTGACTTTATAGAATTTGAGATTAGATAACATTACTATTTCATTTCGTATGTTTTTTTCTTTACAAATTCACCAAATCTTACAAAGTCTTCATAAATCTCAGGCTATGTTTAATAAAACTAACTGATAAGCTAACTGATAGCTTATAAGCTAACTTATAGCCTATCAGCAATTTTCGAGTTTATAGCTTATAACTTATGACTAGGGGTGAGCATCTGTACGGTTTGGTCAAAAACCGCACCGCACCGACAAAAACCGAATGCCGAATTTTTTAATTTTTTTTCACCGAACCGCACCGAACAGAAAATTAAAAAAATAACCACCATTTAATGTTATGTAAGTAAAATTATAAAAGTTAAGGTGATATTTTATTAAAAATAATTAAAAAAAAAGTGACATTTTATTACATTCGGCACGGTTCGGTTGAAACCGCAACCTTCGGATAGAAAACTGAACCGCACCGAAATACTTGCAGTTTTTCAAAACCCAAACCGCACCGATAACCGAACTTACCAAAAACCGCACCGAATAGCTAAGTTCGGTGCGGTTTTTCGGTTTGGGCTCGGTTTTGCTCACCCCTACTTATGATCTTATAGTTGAAAAACTAGCTTATATGATAAAAGTATTTGGTAAAATTAGCTGATAAGCTAGCTGAAATAAAAAATTCAACTAGCTTATTTGAAAAGCTACTTAAAGAAGCTTATCAAATAAGCTCGAGCTTTTTAAAAAAGCTTGTCCTACCAAACAATTTTATTTAAATACAGAGAGATTATAAACTAACTAAATAAACTATAAAGTAGCTTACTTGCCTACCAAACATAGTCTTAGTCACAAATAAGTTAAATACAACATGATTTTGTATGACTTTTTACAATCCCGATTGAATACTCTTTAAAAGTCTTTACAAATCTAAATTGAATATATCATGATTTTCTAAAGTCCTAAAAAATCTTTAGAAATCTTAATTAAAAACACCCCATTAATGTGTTAATGAGTGGGTTATCACATTCTCAGAAGAAGAAAAAATAAAATAAAACAAACAACCATTAGAATGAGATGGATTAATGAAGATGGATATGGAAGGATTATCAATTGAGATAGTATCAAGCTCAATCAAGAATGACAACCCAACGCACCTTAAAGGACTATAATCTTGGAGTGAAACAAAGGTGCAGCTAGACCTGATAGGACCACAACAAGAATTGCCATGAATACACACATCCTCTTATAATTCTCATTCTTGTTCAATCTCTCGGCCTCCACCTGTGAAACTAAATTCGAGCTGTCGCTTGTCGAACATGAAGCCCGAATCTCATCGTCGTTTGGGATAGCATCCTCTAATAATTTCTCCACCTGATTCACATATTTCCAATGACAACAAGTTCGAAATGCAATTAACTTTTCAAGAAAGATAACCAAATTTTTACATTCCATTCCAGCTTCAAGTTGATACACAATAAAAAGAGCAACTTTATCCACCCTAAAGACTATAAAAACAAGCAAGAAAAACAGAAGCACCTTATCCTGAAGACCTTCCCTGTTGATCACAGTCTGCAAAGCCTCCCTTATCCGATCGCTCCTAACAACAACCTCCTTCGCACATAATCTTGTCTCAAGGGCTGTTTGGGTCAAAGCATTCGCCGATAACACGACTCGAGAACCCATAAGCTCCATTTCCTTAGTAATATTTAAATTAGTCTCGGATGAAATCAAGCATCCATCCTCCAGTTTTAGCTCCCCCTTAGCCACCTTATGCTTCAGCTCGTCCATCGAAGCCTCCAGGTCGCAAATCGCCGAGTACAGCATGTTTTCCTTTACCTGGCACGCTTCCGATAATGCCCACAAGTGCTGGAGCTGAATATCCAACTCTCTTAGCTTCTTTTCCAACATGCCCCAAATTTTCGCGTTGCTCTCGTTTGTGCCCTTGAGGATATCGATCTCCTCCCAGAGCTCGGAGAAGCGCTCGGAAAAGATCGAGGCTGTCAAGTGGGAGGCTTCCTCGTTTCTCTTCTCTCTCAAGGCCTCGATTTGTGCTCGAGATTTGGATAAAAATTTCCTCAACATTTTGCCTTCCATTCTCGTGAATCGGAATAATTAACAAAAAAGCAGTACTTTAGCACCGAAAATAACCCTAAATTTTCGATTTTTTCTTCGCAAAATTGGGATTAATACCTGCGAAGAGCTGTCTGGTGCGTAATCATTCTGTGTACAGACAAATCAATATCAAAATATTGAAGAAGAAAGGTTTAAGAGAGAGAGAGAGAGAGAGAGAGAGAGAGAGAGAGAGAGCTGAAATTTGGGGCTAGGGTTTTAAGGAACTATTGGGTTTGGTTGCTTTTATAGAGAAGAAGAGACGATGATGAGAGATAAACATTATTAATGTCATTATTATTTATAACAATTATAAAAGTAATAATTTTTCTTTTTTTTATGTAATATAAAATTTAACGTATATTGTTATTATTTATTGATGTAATTAATTTTAAAATATATAAACAAATTTAATGTTTGTTAGGAATGTGATTGTATATAAGTTCAAATAAAATTGAATATATCCAAAAAAAAAATCTAATTATGATATTTTCTTTAAATGCTTGAATGAATTTGAAACTCAAATTACAAACCAACCGTTAATTTTTCAAAAATTTTCAAAAAAGTTACCGATTGTAGAAAAATTCAAAATTTTAAGTGAGATTTTACTTTCTAATTAAAGTAAATCTCTATTGTTAATAGATTGTATTTTTTTTTTTTTTGATAGCATTTAAAATAAATTTCAAAAGAGAATACATCTAAGATGTCAATTGATCAGTACAAAGTTTGGATCCATCTCCCACAACATGGAGAATAGTTTACTAACAAACAGATCTAACGAGGAGACGAAACTCGAGCCCCCAACGACATCTAGCATGGAGAGACATGACTGCCACCATCCCGACCAGTACCGCCGGAGGAAATAGCAGCACCAATTGATTTCCGGCGGGCTAAGAAGGTAGGGGAACCACGTGCCTTTTATGATTTTATCTGTTTATTATGCTTTTTATCAGATAACAATATCAACTCATGATTCAACTACCCATACACCATTCAAACAAAGAAAGCAGCTACATGCACCCCTGCTAAAATGTAGTCAACAATCAGTCTACAAACTACAAACAACAAATCCAACAAATACTATGTACAA